GCGGGCAGCGGGCGATCGGGTCAGGGCCATGGGCGCTGTGCTAGGCGGGGGCAGGGGACACTCGTCCTCCCTTCCTAGGGAGGAAAAAAGGAGAGAGAAAAATCAAGTCGCAGCCGGCTTGGGCCAGTGTTGCGGGCGTGCTTGCGTGACGCTGAGACTGAGCGGGCTTCCCCACCTGTTTCCAACCGACGCCAAGCGTGAAGTGAGGTGTGAACAGGCCTCTGAGCCCGCGTCCACTAACTGCCCTTGAGGGGAGGGACCTGGCCTCCGACAGATGGGGTGGAGGAGCCTCCGACTGACTGAGGGTAGGTGGCCTGGCCTGTGGCCAAGTGGGGCACAGAGGCCCCACTTCCTTGTGCACATGTGCAGTATGTCTGTAGGATAAATTCCTAGAAGTGGAATTACTGGGTCAAAGGTGATGTTTCTGCTGTTTCGATAAATGATGCCAAATTACTCCTAAGTTGTACCAGTTGGCAGTTTCACCAACAATCTGTGTCACTCAGGAATTTACACTGTGAGATTTAGACACTTGTACAGTTGGTAGCAGGATCAGAAACTTGAAAAAATGCACAAAGAGAAGCCATGAGGTAGCACACGCCAGGAATAATTAAGATGTTATGAATGAGCAAAGCTATAAAGGTAAAAAGAAAGATATACCCCATAGAGGGAGAAGTGGTAGGTAGTTGGCTGGTTGTAGTGTAGGAACATTAAAATCAAGATAGGATCTGTGTTACAATAAATGTAGGTTATTGACAAAAATCCTGTTGCTCATGCTCCAGCAACTTGGTATATGTGTTGACGGGTCCAACAGGAAATTGTATTTATCCGAAGAGGGATTGTTTCCCAAAGGAATGGTTGTCAGGTGCTACCTAAGCACTGTCTAGTGCAGTGATTCTCTAACTTTAGAGAGTATCACAATCACCAAGAAGACTTGTTCAAACACCGATTGCTGGGCCCTACCCCAGAGTTTCTAAATCGGGTAGGTCTGTATGAGGCTCTGAATTTGTATTTCTGAAATTTCCCAGGTAATGTTGATGCTGCTATTCTGGGGACCATGCATTGAAAACCACTGGTCTGGTGGGCGAGGAGTCTACGGCCAATGGATTTCAGAAGTTCTGGTCAAACGACTAAAATCATCCCTGTTGTGAAGGGATTCATTAAGTTGTCTTCACCAAATGCCATTAGACATTTGGTTTATTTAACTCCCTGTTTCTTTTTTTTTTTTTTCAAGGTTTTATGTATATGAGAGAGAGTGAGAGAGAGCATGAGAGGGAGAGGGTCAGAGGGAGAAGCAGACTCCCCGCCAAGCGGGGAGCCTGACTTGGGACTTGATTCTGGGACTCCAGGATCATGACCTGAGCTGAAGGCAGCTGCTCAACCAACTGAGCCACCCAGGCGCCCGTAACTCCCTGTTTCTGGAAACACCATCTTCTCAAGGCTTCTGTGACTCTGCACCTCTCTTACTTCTTTTCAGTCTTCTTAGATGACTCCTGATCCTCTACGCACTCCTTAAATCTTGATGTTCCTCAGAGGTCTGACATAGGCCACCTTCACACACCTCTTCCTACACAATGTCAACTATTCCTGTGGCTTTAAATGATAATTTTCATGCCGATGACTCCCTAGGTTTATCTCTAGCCCTGTCCTCAAAGCTCCAGATATATGTATCCAAATGTGTATCAAACCTCATAGGCATCTCAAGTTGAATATGTCTAAAACCGAATCCCTGTCCCCTCAAATAAAAGCCTGCTTCTTCTTCTCTGTTCCTTATCTCAATGAATGGTGGTACTACCAGCCAGCAAATGCTCAAGTGAGAAATCTGAGCATGATGCTTGATTTCTACTTCTTTCTCACCAACAAATCCTGTCTCTTTTTATCTCCTAAATATTTTTTGCACTTATTTTGGCCTCTACTGTTATGACTTTAGGCCAGCTAAGACCACCTCTGGCCCAGTCTACTACAGCAGCCTCCTATCTCGTCTTCCTGCATCTATTCTTGCCCTCTCTCATTCCTTTTCCCACATTCAGCCAAAGTGATCTTTAAGAGACTATGTAATCAAACTGCCTTAGTGGCTTCCTAATAACACTATGTCTTAGTTGGCTTAGGCTGCCATAACAAAATGACATGGTCAGGTTACTTAAACAATAGAAATTTATTTTCTCACAGTTCTGGAGGCTGGAAAGTCCAAGATCAAGGTGCTGGCCAATTTGGTTCCTCTCTCTTTATGTTGCAGATTTCTTGTTATATCCTCACATGGTCTTTCCCCAGTGGATGCATACAGGGAGAAAGAGGGGAGGGAGGGAGGGAGAGAGGGGAAGGGAGAAAGAGAAAGGGAAGGAGAGAGGAAGAGAAAGAGGGAGAAAAGAAGGGAGGGAGGGAGAGAGGGGAAGGGAGAAAGAGAAAGGGAAGGAGAGAGGAAGAGAAAGAGGGAGAAAAGAAGGGAGGGAGGGAGAGAGGGGGAGGGAGAGAGAGAAAGAGAGAGAGCTCTCTTCTTTATAAGGCCACTAATCCCAGCATGAGGGCCCCATCTGCATGTCTAATCTAACCTTAATTACCTCTCAAAGACCCCATCTCCAAATACTATCACATTGGGGATTAGGGTTTTAACATATGAATTTTAGGGGAACACAAACATAACAATATAAACTTTTAAATATAAAGATTATATATATGTGTGTGTGTGTGTGTTAAGTGTTATATTTATATATAGTAAATATATGATTTCACCGTAAGTAAATTTTACCCTAAAAAAAAAAGACAGGGAAAAAATTTTGAACTCTATGATATGTATGCTATAGTGAAGGGATGAAGTATACTGATGTTTGTAAGTTACTTTGAAATGCATCAAAAATAAGATAGGTGAATGTGTGGATGGATAGATATAGATAAAGCAAATATAGTAAAATGTTAACATTGTCAAATCTACATGGTAGTTATACAGCTGTTTACTTTAACTTTTATGTAAATTTGAATGTTTTCATATTGAGAAAAAATTTAAAATTAATAAAGTGAATTATGATTTTCCCACAATTTTAAAAAGTTTTTTTTTAATTTCTTTTTTTTTTTTAAAAAAGTTTTTTTAAAAAAAGGAGAGAGAAGGGGCATCTGGGTGGCTCAGTCGGTTAAGCATCTGCCTTCGGCTCAGGTCATGATCCCAGGGTCCTGGGATCGAGCCCCGCATCAGGCTCCCTGCACCGTGGAGAGCCTGCTTCTCCCCTCTCCCTCTGCTGCTCACCCTGCTTGTTCTCCCCTCCCCCAGTCAAATAAATAAATAAAATATTTTAAAAAAAGGAGAGAGAAGGTTATAATGAAACTCATGTGCCCATCATCCAGCTTCAAGAATGATCAATCTTATTCCACTTATATTCTCACCCACTCTCTCACCCCCACCTTCCTGAATTATTTTAAAGTAAATCCAAGACATTACACTGTTTATTCTAGAGATATTTCAGTTTGTATCTTTAAAAGATGAGGAATCTTGGGGTGCCTGGGTGGCTCAGTCGTTAAGTGTCTGCCTTCGGCTTAGGTCATGATCCCAGGGTCCTGGGATTGAGCCCCGCATCGGGCTCCCTGCTCCGCGGGAGGCCTGCTTCTTCCTCTCCCACTCTCCCTGCTTGTGTTCCCTCTCTCGCTGTGTCTCTGTCAAATGAATAAGTGAAATCTTAAAAAAAAAAAAAGATAAGGAATCTTCATTTAATAATTTGTCAAGCACATATGCTGTACTCAAGGGGTACAGTAGTGAACAAGGTAGACATAGTCTCTGGTTTATGATGATTATAGTTTATAAGGAAGACAAACAATAAACTAATAAATAATTATAAATTATGATAATAACCAGTTTGAGAAATCTTAACTTGTGAGATATAAATATGAAACAATTTTATTGTCTCTCCAATAACAATTTACCACTGTCTCTAGAAATCCTCTTGGTCTCTGACAGTGAATTCCCTTAAGAATATCCTACTCTAGGGGCACCTGGGTGGCTCAGTTGGTTAAGCATCCAACTCTTGATTTTGGCTTAGGTCATGATCTCAGGGTCATGGGATCTAACCGCGCGTGGGGCTCTGCACTCAGCTCAGGGTCTGCTTGTCCCTCTCCCTCCCCCTCTGCCCCACCCCTGCGGTCTCTCTCTCAAATAAATAAATAAAATCTTAAAAAAAAAAAAAGAATATCCTACTTTCTATGGGACATAGGTCCCATAACTATGAAGTCACTTTCAGTAACTAATACAGTCTCTTTCCAAGTATTATGTTTTAGGCTTGCCCATTTAAAATCTTTAATCTCATATTTAATTCATAGCTTTTCCCATTCTTCTGTGCAGGTAGACTTGTGGTTATAATAGCCATTAGTGGAGGGGGTGGTAATGTCCTCTTCTTTCCCCTTGGCTCTTGTTTCCTCCCAAGTAGGGATGAGGAGGAGGAGAGAATGTTCTCTGCAAGACTGTCCAGGAAGAGTTGTTTGTTATCTTTCTGCTGGTTGTTGCTACTTCAGTAACAGTTCTCTCAGTGTGTCAGGAGCCCAGATGCCAGCAGTCTTACTTGGACTGGGCACAGTTGCTCTCTGGGGCCTCCCCTATGCACTTCCCAACCTAGGAGAAGTCAGTATCAATCTCTTTCTCCCAGGCATCCCCACCTGTCCCTGCCAGGGGCAATCTAATATATAGCCTTTTGTTTTGGGGGGATCCTTGGCTGGAGTGGCTTCTTGGGGAGTGCCAGCAAGAGCCTTAAGCCTCAGGGATCTTCTGCGCTGTCTAGTTGACTCACACATGGAGAATTTACATGCTTAATGCAAGAAGGAAGGAAATGCAGGTAGTTCTCGTCCTTATGGCCCCTATCTCAGCACCAACTAGCTCTTTTCTCCCTTCCTTCACACCCAAGGACAACAGGGGCTCATTCAAGTCAGTGGTTCAGCGACTTTCAGACAAGTTCTCAGCTTGGGGAATGGGACTTTCCCCTGCACTTTTACCCAGCACTTTCAAATTGTGGGAAGGGAATGGGGGAACGAATTGAACACCCTATCTTCTTCAGCTAGGGAGAAGTAATGGGTGGTTGGCATCTGTAAAAAGTAATATTCATCCATGGATACATGAACTAATTGGAAAAAATTTTTAATTCTACTTTTGTTGCAGAATTTATGGTAAGCGATTAATATTAGTAACTAACTTTCGATCATAAAAATAGTGATAGGACTGGGGCACTTGGGTGTCTCAGTTAGCTATGCCTCCAAGTCTTGATGTTGGCTCAGGGCATGATCTTAGGGACGTGAGATCAAGCCCTGCATCGGGCTCTGCGCTGAACATGGAGCCTGTTTAAGGTTCTCTCTCTCCCTCCCTCTGCCCTTCCCTCCCAGCTTGAGTGCGCATGCTCTCTCTCTCTCTCTAAAAAAAAAAAAAGTGATAGGACTTTAGGGGTACAGCAGTGTTCTGATTGTATATATCTTTCTCATCAGCCATCCTGTCTGAAACTCAGGAAACACAGAGTCCCTGGTTGTGTAATAAGAGTATACTTGAAAAGTACCCTGTCCTTATCTGACAACCCAGATGAAGAATACTGGCCCTCAAGCTGCTTTTCTTAAAACTGTAAGTAGTGTTGCTTGGTCATCCTGGATCTGTCTTGAAATATTTTGTTTACCCAAGGCTTCCAAAATGATGGTGTCTTTTTCAAAAACTAGTATGTGTGTGTATTTTTCTTTTTTTTTTTCTGAGTGATTTGTCTTATTTTATTTTTTCCAGATTTATTGAGATATAGGTGACATATAACATTGTGTAAGTTTAAGATGTATAATGTGATATTTTGGGGCACCTGGGTGGCTCCGCCGTTAAGCTTCTGACTTTAGCTCAGGTCAAGATCCCAGGGTGCTGGGATGGAGCCCTGCATCAGGCTCCCTGCTCAGCAGGGAGTCTGCTTCTCCCTCTCCCTCTGCCCTTCCCCCCCTGCTTGGGCTCTCTCTCTCAAATGAATAAATAAAATCTTTTTTTTTTTAAAGGTTTTTTTTATTTATTCATTCGAGACACAGAGATACAGAGAGAGAGAGAGAATGAGCAGGGGGAGAAGCAGAGGGAGGGGGAGAAGCAGGCCCCCCACTGAGCAGGGAGCCCGATGCAGGGCTGATCCCAGGACCCTGGGATCATGACCTGAGCCGAAGGCAGACGCTTAACCATCTGAGCCACCCAGGCGCCCCACTAATAAAATCTTTTTAAAAAAGATGTATAATGTGATATTTTGATACATGCATATATTGTGAAATGTTTGCCATAATAAAGTTAGTTAACACGTCCTTTACCTCACATAATTATCATTTTGTTGTTGTTGTTATAGTGAGAACATTAGAGCTCTCCTGTCATAGCAGCTTTCAAGCACAATAAAGTATTATTAACTGTTGTCATCATGCTGTACATTAGACGCCCAGAACTTACTTATCTTAAAACTGAAATTTTGTTCCATTTGATTAATAGCTTCCCATTTCCACACCCCCCCAAACCTGGCAACCACTACTCTACTTTTTGTTTCTATAAGTTTAATGTTTTAGATTCCACACATAAGTGAGATCATAGAGTATTTGTCTTTCCCTGAATTATTTTACGTAGTATAATGCTCTCAAGGTCTATCCATGTTGTTGCAAATGGTAGGATTTCCTTCTTTTTTTATGGCTGAATAGTATTTGTGTGTTTTTCAAGGTGATACTTCTTCATAGACTTATTCCCCTTAATTCATACATCAATCCCATATACATTGAGAGGCTAATGCAGTCATTTATTCATTCAATGAATATTCCCACTTTTTGGAAGTTTCATATTATACCACTTTGCTTTTATGGAAGACCTACATTTGTATCTGTTTTCGCTAACCAAAAGAAATCTGAAGAGGATTTTCATTCTTATGAAAAAAGGCAAAAAGCAAACATAGTGTTCAGTATTTGTTTTGCAACCAGCCATGATAGAGGCAGCATGCTCCCCCAGCAGTGAGAGTTGCCCTGCCAAGCTCCATCCCCAGCAACTAGGCTCAGCATCTCAGCATCAAGCCACTGTAGCTTTGAACTGTATCTGTGAGCATCTGTGCTTTCTCTCAATTTGTTTTGTTAACTCTTAGTGAGATGTGTCCTATGGTAATGGAAAAGCCTAAGAGAGGTTATTTTTTGGGTCTGGGAATACTCAAAAAATTCCATATAAATTAATGGTAATTGCTTCTTTGCTTTACGCCACTTCAGCTTATGAAAGGTTTCACAAGAGCACTCCAGTTTTGGATGGCAGGAGAAACTCGTAGTCCTGAGTGCCTACTGGGTGCCAGGCACCTTGTTAGGGGCTGGGAATGAAACTGAGCAAGCTAGGCATTGCTTCTTAGAGAGCTTAGCAGCCCTAGTTTGTGAATGCAGAAGACAAATCTCGATCCCTTACTTTCTTTTTAAAAATAATTTTTAATTAAAAACTTACATATGAAAAAATATGTGAAAATGTAAATCAAAACCATTTCACACCCATTATGATGGCGATTATTTAAAAAAAATGGAAAACAAGTTTTGGCAAGGATGTGGAGAAATTGGAACCCTTGCTCATTGGTGGTGGGAATGTAAAATGATGCAGCTGCTGTGAAAAACAGTTTGGCAGTTCCCCAAAAAGTTAGACATAGAATTACCATATGATCCAGCAATTCTACTCCTGGGTATTTACCCCAAAGCTTTAAAAGCAGAGATGCAAACAGATACTTACCCACCTATCTTCGTAGCAATGTTATTTATAATAGCCAAGAGGTGGAAATAACCTGTGAAGGGATAAACAATTTAGAATTCGATTCAGCCTTAATGGAAATTATGACACATGCTACAACATGGAGGAAACTTGAGGACATCATGCTAAATGAAAAAAGCCAGTCACAAAAGGATAAGTATTGTATGATTCTACTTACATGAGCTAACGGGAAAAGGCAAATTCATAGAAATAGAAAATAGAATAAAGTTATTAGGGGCTAGGGGAAGGGAGAATGGGGCATTATTTAATAGGTGCAGAGTTTCTGTTGGGAAGATGAGAAAGTTCTGGAAATGGATAGTGGTGATGGTTGCACAATATTGTTACTATATCCTAATGCCATTGTATTTTACACTTAAAAATGGTTTAAGGGGTGCCTGGGTGCCTCAGTCAGTTAAGTGTCTGACTCTGAATCTCAGCTCAGGTCTTGATCTCAGGGTTTTGAATTTAAGTCCTGCATTGGGCTCCATGCTGGGTGTGAAGCCTACCTAAAAAAAAGAAAGAAAATGCTTAGGATAGTACATTTTAGGTATATGTTATTACAATAAAAATATGTGAATATTTTCCTTTTATCAAAAAATTGAAACATTGTGGACAATGTTAAAAGCTCCTTTGACCACCTCCTCCATCCTGATCCCAGTTCCTCCTCTTCGTTGGTTCTGTGTTTCCTCCTCTAGAGCTTTTCTGTGTATTTGCTTGTATTCATATGTACTTAGCAAAATGACATATATTTTTAGCTTTATCCAAAGAGCATGTCTACTTTAGCATGGAGATTTGAAACCATCATTTGTAGTAAAAATGTTCTAAGCAGTAGGGCTTTCTGCCTTATTACTGGGGACTTTTTTTTTTTTTTTTTGGTGGATGTACATTTTTCAAAGGTTGTCATTTTCTGTCATTTTTCTTTTTTTCATTATATAGCAGGGTCAATGCCTACAGACCACTTTTGTTTATGCTACAGCTAGCCAGCTCAGGTTTCTCCCATGCCTTAGGGAACACTCTGTCCTTCCTGCTGGATTCCAGGTATAATCTCCCAGTTTTGGGTCACTCTTAACTTTTCCACTGGACTGCTTTAGTAGGCAGCCTCTCATTGTACATAACTTAAATAATTTTCTTATCCTTTCCCCGTTTCCATCCTTGTTTCTAATTTGCCGAGATGTCAAGTAGATGTCAAAATCTTCATAAAAATTTTGTTTTATCCTCTCTGTTCAAAGATGATACATCCTCATTTTGAGAAAATTAAAGCAATTTAGAATGGTTATAAAACAGAATGTGTAACCACATCACCACTTGGATTACATCTTTCTAGACATCTCTGAATGGTGAATACTCACAGGTGCACACAATTTTACACAAACAGGATCATACTATGCACATTGTATGGCAATTGGCTTTCTTAGTTCAAAAAATATATCCTTACAGTTTGCTGTTTCAGTGAATATAGATCTACAGTATCCATTTTATTGGCTCATAATATTTTTAAAACAGTATGACATATTTCTTCTTATTTGATAGAAAACACAAAGAAGCAAACAAAAAAGTGTATCACATTCTCTCAACCTTGATATCCTACATTGAACAGTTTGTAAAATTAAAAGAAACACATCTATGAGATTCGCAAATTCATGCTACAAAAAGTTACAAAATAAAAAGTGCAAGTTGAGAGCCACCCTCCCTTTTCTAGTTCAGTCTTCCCAAGGCCAAATGCCTTTATTAGTTTCTTGTGAATCCTTCCAAACATACAAAATTACTTACATATCTGTATTTCTCTCTTTTTTTGTTTTTTAACACAAAAAAGGTCACATTATTTTATAGAGTTATTTACTTTGCTTTTTCATTTGATATATTTTGGGGATCATTTCTTAACTGTAAGGTAAATATATCTTTTTAACACCTGCATAAAAAAAGTCATTTGTTAGGATATGCCACAATTTATTTAACCAGTTCCCCAAGGTGGATATTTTGGTTGTTTTCAGGGTTTTGTTTGTTTATTATGCAGTTTTGATTTTACTATTACCAATAATGTTGCAAGGACATCTTTGTACTTATCTTAACAAGGCTTGCCAGCATATCCATAGAGAAAATCTTAAGCACTGGGGACTGGGTTAAAGGGTGTATGTGTTTTATGTGTAGGTAGGAACTGCCAAATCATCATCCAGAAAGGTTGCACCAAATAACATTATGACAAAAGTGTTCGAGAGTGCTTATTTCCTAAAATTCCACAAACATTAGTTATCAAACTTTTTAGTTGTTGCCAATCAAATGAGTTAAAATTGTTATTTTGTTCTGATTTGCATTTATTATGCATGAAGTTGAGATACTTTTCAAATGTTCATTGACTGTTTGTAGTTTATTCCTTGAAAATGTTCATCCATCTTCACTACTTTTTTCCCCTAGACTGTTCATCTTTTTAATAGCTATCAGTAGAATTTGTGTGAATAGATAAGGTATTATTGAGCAAGGTAATATTACATTGCTTGGATAATGTATTCAACTAGTTACCTAATAATGAACAGTTAGGATGTTTACAACATCATGCTACAGTTTCTAACTTCTGTCCTTGCATCTTTGTGCTCTGAATCAAATATCTCTTTGAGTTAGATTCTAGAAGTAGAATTGCTGATTGAAAGCCAAATTCTTTGTTAAAAATTTTGAAATAGCATTGTTTGATGGGGAAATGGTCCAATTTGGGGAGTGGGAGAAAAGAAAGAGAAACTAGGAGCTCCTGATTGCAAGGCTAATCTGCTCTAAATTAGAATTGAACTAAAAGGCTAATTGGTGATGTTATCGTCCTAGCAGCTTTCATCAATAAGCTTCTTAAAATCCTAAATCTCCTCCAT